GGATACTGAGAATTCTATGGATGAAGCGAGTGAGCAAAGAGAACGTTTTAAAGAAAATGGCAACAGAAAGAACACTTATACTCAGTATCAAGAGAAGAGTTAAAAATTCCTTGGATATCTAATGCGTAAGGGGGCCTTTGAAAATTTAACCCACACGGGGGTATATTGAGAGCAAGAGCGATAGGAGAACGCAGCGAGTCACTCACCTGACAAGCTTGTGTGGCTGGATGGCGAAATAGGGGAGGGGGCGCTTAGCAAAAGGAGTAAAACTGCTAAAGTTTACAAGAGATAAGGAAGTTTTGAAGATCGCCTGATCGCCTATGTCCTGAAGAGACACGGTACATAGAATATAAAGAAATGATCCGAGAGAAAGCACATCGCTATTTGTCCCTTTAAGAGAGTTCAAGGTTTAAGATCATTTTTTATTTATTATTATTTTGTAATTTGTATCCTTGAGACATTTTCATCATTATGGATTTTGTAAGTCGTGATTATAGAAACTAATTTTTTTATTATTCATAACACCCCATGCGAGACAGTAAAGCCACTAAAACACAAGGGGTTACTGAGTGCGAAAGAATAAGAAAAAAAACATTAAGGAGTGTGAATAATAGAAAAGTAATCAAGAAAACAGATAGCGATTTAGATTGAATTTAAATATTTGAAGTTGGCTGGAAAGCATGTAGCTGGAAAAATAGTTCCACAAGCGAAAAGTGTGAAAAAAGAAACTTAACATAGAACTTATGGTTACATCTAACCAATTCAACAGTGAATTGACGACATTTTGTTCCAATCTAGTACTGCGCTTAAATTCAAAAAGTCTACGTGCCATAGCAAAGAGTTCACCCGAACGATTACTATGAAGGTATTTATAGAAAAGGCACAGGGAAGCAATTTTACGGCACTGGGAAAGTGATTGAAGTCGAGACGCCAGGACGAATAACATTGCAGATTCTTCTTTGGATTTTATCAAGGATCTCTAAATACACAACAGCAGCGCCAGACCATATGTGGCAGCAATATTTAAAGCATGGACGAACGGTAGACTTATAAATATGTAAAGTAGATTCTGTAAAGAAAAATTGTCTAGCACGACACAGTAAAGTAATTGTCTAAACAGCAAACCTAGCAATGTATTATTTTGAATCTTCCCACTTCATGTTAGCCGAGATTGTTAACCCGGGAAGGCACAATGAGTCGCTCTCATGGAGGTTAATATCAGCCTTACTGATTGGAAGCAGGAAGAGATTTTCAGGTGATTGATAGAGAGGAGTTCCTTTTTGGAGGTGTTAAAATTAAAAAGCCATTCTTTGCCCCAGTTAACAACAGACAGTTGTTGTTTTTTTTTAAATCAGCTGCCAATTTGACTTTATCGAACTGATTACAATTACAAAATCAGTTGTATTATTAGGCACACAAAGAAAGAACGATTCTTACTCAGTGTGAAATTAAACAGAATGAATTTATTTACAATTAAATTTAAACTCTAAGTCTATAAAGACTTTCTCAAACATTCTTTTCAACGCCTAATAAAAATTAACCTCGCTAAAGAGAAAAACGTTCGTTTGAAAATGTTCTTAATTGAAAAAGTAAAAAAAAAATACTTTGTTAAAGTGATACAGAGAACGTTCTCTCGTATCTGTCTGTATTTCTGAGATGATGTATTGTAACTATTTTTTAATTATTTTTTAAGCATTTCCCCCCAAGCAAGGCGAGAGTGTCACTAGCACGCAAGGGGTTACAGAGAGTGAAAGTAAGAGAAAAAAAAGCGGGGGAATTGAGAAAATGATAAAAAGAATGAGGATCAAGATCAACGCATCAGAAGATGTCGATTGACATTACATTTAAATTTTTGAAGGCTTAGTTATCAGGGAAGCAAGTAAGAGGAAGGAAGTCCCACTATCGGGAAGTGCGAGAGAAGAAGCTGTTGGAGTAGAAGAGGCGGTTACATTTACATCATGTCTGTGAGAAAGTGACCGGAGTCGAGATGCCAGGTCAGCACCGATCACATTGCCTATCCTTCTTTGAATATTGTCAAGATCCTCGAGATGAACAGCAGGGACAACAGACCATATATGAAAACAGTATTCAATGCATGGACCAATTGTAGATTTGTGGAGGTGAAGGATGGACTCAGACGAGAAAAACCTTCTGGCGCGACACATAGAACCAACTCTCCTTGCGGTAGATGCAGCAACTGATTCACTGTTGTTGTTCCACTTCAGGTCAGTGGAAAACATGAGACCAAGAAGGCGCAGCGAGGCGCTCTCGTGGAGTTGAGCATCAACCATGCTGATAGGAGGCAGAGGGGGGACGTTTCTCTATAGTGGGTAAATGAGAGCAGTTTCGTTTTGGAGGCATTAAAATTTACAAGCTGTACTCTATTTACATAGTTCGAACTGTTGTCCTCATTACGATGTTTCGGCCGTTGTACACTCCGGCATTCTCCAGGTGACTGGAATCGATGACACATAGCCCAGTGGGTAGATGCGTTGGTTGAAATAATCTAGTGACCAAAAAGTTGCAAATTCAATGCCGGGCCACAGCAGAGGTGAAAATAAACTTGGGAAGTTGAGTTACTAAAGAGAAATAACTGAAATTGAAACTGATATCCAGAAAAGGCATGGCACGTGGAAATAGAAAAATTTACCACGGTGGACGAAATAAAAGGTTCGGTTCAAAATTCCAATCACCTGAAGAATGAGGACAACTGTTCGAACAATGTAAATAATGTAAATGTTCTCTTGGAGTTGTGAAATTTTCTGGCCTGTCAGCAGTCAAAGGTCAAATGTAGTAGTCGCGAAGAGGGTGAAGAAGACGAGAGAATTTCAGTAGCAGCGATGTGACGAAGACGTCGTTTGAGTCTCTTCGTAGTTGCTTTCAGAACAAATTATGAATCTTATCAAGATTAGTAAACCCAATTAACCCCATGTAAAGAATATAGCAGACCTCTGACAGAATATGTTCTATTTATTGAAAGTAATGTTGGAAATATAAATGAACTAGTGTATTGCTAAATAAACAATAAAAAAATTACATATTATTCACTCTCCATGTGTGTGTGTGTATATATATATAATTAAGTAATGAAAAGTTTGGTAATCTGTATGGATAATCACAAGGAGGATGTAATCCAGAGAGCTCAATATCAAATCAGAACAATTATATATATATATATATATATATATATATATATATATATATATATATATATATATATATATGTGTGTGTGTGTGTGTGTGATGATATGAATCCACTTCTTTAATTCCATTTTTAATTTAGCAAAATGAGTCTTTCCTTATTGCTACATTTCGTTTGTACAGTGAACAGTCTTTTATTTGGCACTTTCATACGTAACCGTTCAGAGAGACACTGCACTTTGTCCAATTCATAAATATATTACATGATTCCCATTTTAATTCTCGTCGAATAAATGGTTTGTTCTTCATCCACTCAATCACTGGTAAGCTATCTTACCCAAGTAATGACTTCACAAGCTCCGCGGACGTAGATTCAGCCACGTTGAGGATTCCTGGATATCTGAAATAATAAATTCAAACCAGTATATAAAAAAGCTATTGAACCTGAAAATGTTAATGTCTGAAAGAGCGAACCCGATTATTCTCATGTAAAGAATAATGAATCTAATAATATTGTACAAAATAAGAAACCCTGCCGTGAGTGGGTTCGGTAATCGTGACAAGATCTCAGGTTTCGGTTTTGGTCACGTTGTCCGGGGTTTTGGTTGGCCTCTTGGCGTTTCGGAATCTTCTTGTTTTCACTTGCAAATTTTATGGTTGCCAAATTAAAGTCATATCGAGAAAAGGCCACCCGAACATCTTATTAAAGTCTTCGCCTTTTTTGGTAAGCGATATAGAATTGTGACTTTTCACATAAATATTTGAGATCATGGGTAGGATTCGTATAACAAAGAATAGTGTAACATAACCACTAGGTTTTGGTTTTACCCAGAGTCTAGACGATAAATACGAGTGCTTAGAGGTCGTATGGTGTTTGGTTATTTTGTTTGAAATCTTAACAGTAAGATAGTTGATTTTTTGGGGGCACAAAAGGACTAACTGCTCGGTCAATGAATGCTAATATTACACTTAACACACACACACACACACGCACACACACACACACACACACACATATATATATATATATATCATACTTATTATAAAACCCAGGTTGTGTGTGTGTCTATTTGTTTATATATTGGATCGGATTTCCTACATTTTTCAACCGATTTCAACTAAACTTCACAGGACTACGTAAAATTACCTTGCAGTGGTTCTGACAGCGCCAAAAATAGGAAAAACACAATTGTTTTTGCATAAAATCAATTTTAAAACATGATTAAGAGGCATCGCTATCACGAGAATGAAAGGGGGACAACTCATATCGAGTTATACTTATTGTAAAACCCAGGTTGTGTGTGTGTGTGTGTGTGTGTGTGTGTGTGTGTGTGTGTGTGTGTTTAGAGATATGGGATCGAATTTCCTACATTTTTCAACCGATTTCAACAAAACTTCTTTTTTTTTTTTGGCAGGTAGTGTTTCTTATTGTCTTGCACACTTTTTTCTTTATTTTTACATTCAGAATGCTTTAAAAATTCCATTTACAAGACAATTGATTATAATAAAAATCTATTCAATCGGTAGACTCATAACGATTGAAAACAATGTTTTTGTTTGAGTTTGGGTTTGACCAATTCGTAAAAAAAAAACAAAAAAAAAACAAAACAAAAAAAAATAATTAAGACATGCGTATCCATCAACCTTAAAAAATAATCTTTGCCAATTTTATTTTTCAGTCTTTATGATGGCCGATACTTGATCTATCGCTTACTGTTACTGTTACTACTGCTAGTATATATATATATATATATATATATATATATATATATATATATATATATATATAATGTGTGTGTGTGTGTGTGTAAACATCTTTGTGTGCCACCTGCAAAATGAAAATTTGATGCATTAAATTCCCAATTTCCCAAGCGGTCACCCATCTAGGTACTGACAAAACTCGACATTGCTTAACTGTTCTGATCGTACGAGAACAGATGTTTCGACGTGATATGGTCGTAGCCCTATTTTTCTGGGTTTGCTTATCACGTTGATAGAAGTTAAATATTTTATAAGTTTTATCACTATGCTAGAAAATTAATTACGATTGGTTATATAAATGTGTATTTAATTTAAAATTTAGGTCACTTGACATATGCTATATAAAAAAAATTTTTGAATTTTCATACAAAAACCACTTTTGTGCAAAATATAAACTTTAAAATCGCCCCCCAAAAAATCACATAGAAATCGCTGAGAACAATCGTATTCATGAAAATTTGGGAATCCCAAATTTCAGGATTGTGGATCCGGCCCGGAATGTTTTTAATTTGTTCACGGGGTCGGCTTGATTCCGAAATGGTATGGTATGTTAGCTTACGCACTCTAGAAGTAAAGTTGAAAAAGTTTGGTACAGTGACACACTGGCATTTGCATTTATTGTATAAATGTGTCTTTAATTTAAAATTTAGGGTCACTTGACATGCTATATAAAAAATTTAAATTTTCTCATACAAAAACCATTTTTGTTCAAAATATTTTTTTCTTACAAGAACCAACATTTACTACAGTAAATGTTCAAAATGCAAAACAAATACAGGATTTTACAAGCATTTCCTTTTGTGCGCCTTATACAAAAACGAAAACTGAATAAGAAATCAAACAATATACATGACAAAGAAAGAACACAAGTATCTAAAATGAAAAAAAAACAAAAAAAAAAACAGACTATATGTATGTAATTTTGGATGTTTGGGAAGGACTAGCAAAGAAAGTAATTACAGTACCAGTGATCCTTAGAGCACTAGGATGTTGTACAAAAAACATTGAAAAAAAATCTTGAAGATATTTGATTGCGATTTGGAAATATAAACTTTAATGGATAGCACATGGAAGTTGAAGAGAAAATAACAACATAATCAAGACGTTGATGTTCCACATTACTTCAAACAAAAGGTTAGAAAGGAAACTTCCCACAGTCGTAGAAAGATCAATAACAGACTGGACTTGAGAAACTTATTTTCCTGAAAATTATTTTAATAGATCTTCAAAATTTCAATAAGTAGCAAAGTGTGTTCGGTCAATGAATGTCGAATGTTTCCTTATAAAGATACGGTTAATATTACCATTACGATTAGAGCATATACTACATTTGGTATTTACACGTCTCACCACTGTACGGGATATGGCACAAGGCCAATTTAAAGCGGGGTGCCCAAGTGCGTGCACATGGGCTAAGGCCCCAAAGTGGTGTAATGGTTAACAAGCTTGTCTCGCTAGATCAATTACGACTGAGTAGTGAGTTCGATCCTCACTGGGTGCGCACACGTCTGGCTTTTTGCCATATCTAAGCTTCGCGTACTAACTCACTGAAGTGTTTGGCTTCAGTTTCACTTGGATTTATCAATGTCTCTCAACAAATCTGTCTAAATAAATAAATATAAAAAAAAACCCTTGGCCTATAAACGAACTGGCAAATTTTTGTCTATAGGATCCCCCCCCCATGAAACTTTAGAGAAAAAAACATATTTGCTTAATTCGCAATGTAGTAGACAAGTCGGTTAGTAATCCCTAGAATGGAAAATTTTTTAAAAATATTTTTTTTATTTACAAATTGAAGCAAAACACGTAGAAAATATGTCCTGTGTTTTTATTGCTTAGTTGAGGAAGGGGTGAATTGAACTCAGAAAAAAAAAAAATTGAAAGTGCCATATTGTGTAAGTTTTTTACTTAATAAGAAAGGAGGGAGCAGTTATTGTTTGTCAGGTGTGAATTACTGATAGTTGGCGACAATATGGCGCACAGGACAGCGATCAGTCAGTGTTAAAAAAAAAAAAATTGACAAAAGAAAGCAAAAGCAACAACCCTCCCCTACACTTAAAAAAATAAAGGTGTCCCGTGTTGGTTGCTGAAGGATTCTTTCTTTTTTTTTTTTTTTTTTTGTCAAGCCAGTAACAAAAAAACAAAACAAACAAAAAAAAACGACGAAGTAACAACAATTCAAAGAAAAAGAACAAAAATAAATACTTGCGCCTAACTGAAACTTATTTAAAGGTTCCTGATATAGGCACTTCGACGTGGTGTAATGGTTAGCAAAAACAATTAGGACTGAATCGTGAGTTCAATACTCAGTGAGTGCTCCATATTTACGGCCTTGTGCCACAAATAAAATAACGAAAAGTTCCAGAGTTTTTCTAATCATCCTTCAATAGCGGTTTAAATGCCATGCTTTTATTCGCAACAAAAGGTCTGACAAGAAAAGAATCATCTTTATAACACGCTCTTCCCAAAAGTACGAAGTTTCTCCAGGAAGTCTACAGGGTGATCCGATAGTCTTGTCATCCCCTATCAAAAAGTAATGAAAACAATAGAACAAATAATACAGTAATGCAAAGCACATGTACTGGATTCAGTTTATTCACTTTCATTGACGCTGTCACACAACGTGAAGGTCTGTATGAATACCGCCATTTTCGTGTCAGCCATCTGAAATAGAAAATTATATTATATAGGGATGATAAGACTTTCGGACCACCCTTTATATCTCGTGAACTGGTCATTCTCTGCAGAACTGTTTCGAGTTGAAAGTACACTGTAAATCGTGTGATTTCTCATCTTCAGCCTGACTGCTCGATTCCGAGCATTTCCATCGTCTCAGGCCCATTTGTGTTATTTATGTTTCGATTCTGTGGCCTTATTCTCAATTAAACTAAGCTGTCCTCAGTTTAACTATGCCCCCCGCCAGGGTCATAGATTGTTTTGAATTCAAAATTCTCCCTCTACCATGCTGACTGCAAATTACGGTTAGAGTCCAGTCTGCCTTGCTATTTAACTCATAGCTGTGGGAGCAGTGCTGGATTAGTACCTTTCCTAAGGGTGTTAGTGTGAAAGTGAAGATGTCGAGTGAAAGGGCAAACTAAATTGAGAAACGGTTGGGTATGAGACTGACACCTAACTAGAAAAAACACACACAGCAGCAGCAGCAGCAACGTGTTGAGTCTTTAGCCCCCATACTCCAAAGTTAGTGTGTGTAAGGGACTTGAGAGACAGCGTAGGGGACTGCAAACAGGAATTTGTCGAAGATGAAATAACGGATACAAATGGCACCAGAACGACTAAACCGGCTAACTCTTCCGCTAATTGAAAACGATGTTCAAAAATTTTGGAATTCACTGATCTTTTACAGAAATTTATTAGCAAGAAATGACACAAAGCAAATGTTTGAATTAACACTTTCACTACTGCATTCTTATAGCATTGTTGCCTGACAGTGCTGGCTCGTTATTTGAAAAAAAAAGAATTTGCTATTTACTGGAAATAAATGACTATAAAGAGGCTGACGATGATTTCTTATGGATGCCACCATTTTAATTTCGATCGGATACTCTCCAGTTCAGACTCAGCTAAACTACCCCACAAAACACACACACACATAATAACCATATGTCACGAACCAAGTCGTAATTTACCCTACTATATGTCTCTGCTGATTTGGAAATTGTCTTAGTTTCTAACGCAGACGCGAGGGGCCGACATTTTTTTTTTTTTTTTTGTAAATAAACAATTTAATCTTGAGATTTTTTTCCACTTTTCCATTCATTTGTTATAAATCTTTATTATGGCAAATGAATAACAACAAAATTAATAAACACTATTTATTTATTATATTGTTTATTGGAATGGTTGGCAAACATCGTCTAATTGCCAATCGATTCGAACTTTATAAAATGGTAAATGATAAACATTTCTTTATAGTTGGTTCACATTTTAATAATTTAGTAAATGTTTATAAATTTACGAATAAAACTTTTCACATTTATTTCTTTATAAATTGATAAATGATAAATATTGCATTGCATTAATTTTTATACTATTGTATTAAATTTTAGAATGTTGTGAATATAGAATTATTCTTGTAAATAATCTAATAAATAGTTTAATATGTTTGTTGTTCTCAAGAACAAAAAAAATGTATGAATTCACTTTATTAAAACTAATCAGTGCGTTTTAAAACAAGGAGTGAAAGTAGTTAAAATAATAGCGGTGTCAAGGGAAAACCGTCCTTTTGGCATATTTTTTTACGGGCATAAAGGTAAAGAATGTCGCTAGCTCTTTGATCACTAGATTATCCACGCTAAACTTGTCTCCAGATTCTTACATTTCACATTTCTGGGCAGATCTTCTATTATCACAATGTGGAATACTTAATAATAAAAGCGATAAAAACAAAAGCATAAGGAAACTGAATGAAATTGGCTACATCACATGTCCAGACATGTCTGAGAAAAACAAAACAACTATTTCAGCGTTCCGACATCTTCAGCGTTTCCTAGGCGTTCACAATTATAACAGACGCTTGCATTTTTATATTCCCCCTGTCTATATAATTACATCATTAAAAACATTACTTCAGTCTTAACTCTTTGAACCCTGCGTCCCTGAACAATTTTAGCCATACTGTCTGAGCTCCTGAGTCAAAATTCGCAAATAATGGTTACGTACTGTTTCACGGTAGATATAAAAATAGTTACAAGTGTTTACCCACCGTTCAATCGGTCATTTTTCTCTACCATCTGTAAAGCGGTGGTCAGGGTTCAAAGGGTTAATGGATGAAACGCCTTACACAGATTTTTTTCATTAATTTGCCTAACATTTTTCTGCTATAGAAATTTATATGTCATATTCTCCCAGTTTTATGATGTTATAATATTTAAATCAGATTTTGTCGATCAGTGATTAGACGACCTAATGATCCATTGCATTCATACACAGTTTCCGCTTAAATGTTACTATATAAGCTTCAATGATATCAGTGTTCGGAAAGTAATTACGTATTTCACGACTATCAAGCCAACCAACTAACCAACGAAGAACCTTGATTGAATGGTATGCGTCTAGAATTAGTTTATCATCTCTCCTATCCGACAATGAGTCATTCATAATGTATCCGACAATGATTTGGGTCATTCTTGAGGAATAATGTATTAAAACAAATGTAGTTAAAATAATAGCGGTGAGAAAAA